GAGTGTGTGTGTGGGAGTGAGCGCTGTGCTCTGGGTGCGAGTGCTGGGCTGGTGATTACAGGAGACGTGACCGGAGTCCGGTCCACGGAGGGTGACCGGCTGTGAAGCTGGAAATAGACAGGCCCCTCCCCTCGCCTGCGCGCCTCTGATGTTGTTCCTCAGCCCTCGGCTCTGGGCACAGCTGCTGTTGGTGAAACCGGAGCCGCGCTGACGGGGCAAGAGGGGACACCAGAGACAAGGGTCTGGGGCCCCAGCTCTGACGCATGCTGCAGGTCTGAGAGGAGGGCAGCTGGCAGGACCCCTGGCACAGCGCGGAGGTGTCCTCCTGCAGCTCTGGGAGAAAGGGTACGATGATGCAAGTTAAGTGCAGAGCCCTGCTGTGAGGACAGACAGCTCAGGGTCCTAACAGCAACAGTAATTCACCACGAGCAGCAGCTCCCAGGAATTCATCAGGATGGAAGGACTGTGGAGTCTTAGTCAATGAACACACTTGTCTGAGGGCTAACATCCTAACTTCTTAAGTGACCTGAGTAATTATAAATTATTGACAGTACCGATTGAACTGTTGTTATGCCTCCCGAATGTTTGTTATGAACTCCATTCTTCTTCTTCATAAGAAAAAGAAGAATATCCATTCTGCTCTAGGCCACTTCTGTGTGGATTTTGTGTTTCTCCCTGGTCCACACTGGTTTTCTGAAGGTGCTCCTGTTTCCTCCCTCTGCCCAAGGACATGCTGTCCAGTTTAACTGGCATCTCTAAACTGTCCTCCTGCAGTGGACTGGTGTCCAGTCCTGCCCAGGGTGTGTCCTATGGTGGACTGATGTCCTGTCCTGCCCAGGGTGTGTCCTGTGCATCTGGCTCACTGTGCCCCTCTAGTGGGCTGAGCCAGTGTTGAGAGCGGACAGATAATACCGCAGTGCATAAACCTTTCACAGCAAACAAGATCAGACCGCTGTTCCTCAGAGACCTGCGCTCTGGCTGGTCCTGGAGCCCCAGAGACAGGTGCGGGGCCTGGCAGTGCCCCTGTGTATTAATAGGCCTTGTGTCAGCGTGCGCGCCGCTATCTCTGCTGTGCACTAGTCCGTACAAAGGCACCAGCTCGTGGGGACCCCCCGCTGTGAGGACAACAACGGCTCCAGGTCTGTCGATCCCAGGAAACAAAATCTGACTCAGTGTGTGTATATCCCTGTCCCTGGTGTGTTGCAGTGTGTGTGAGCTCTGTTGTCGCTCAGGGTGCTGCAGTGTGTGTGTGTGTGTGTGTGTGTGCTCTTTTGTCGCTCAGGGTGTAACAGTGTGTGTGCTCTCTTGTCGCTAAGTGTGTTGCAGTGTGTGTGTGTGTGCTCTGTTGTCGCTCAGGGTGTTGCTGTGTGTGTGTGTGTGTGTGTGTGTGCTCTGTTGTCGCTCAGGGTGTTGCAAGTCTGTGCGTGCTCTGTTGTTGCTCAGGGTATCAAAGTGTGTGTGTCTGTGGCCCACAGGCCAGTGGAATGTGTTGCTCTGAGCTCAGGTCTATTTCGGGCGGCTCTGTGAATCTCCTGCCCTGCAGCTGCTGCCTGGCACAGAGTTAACCCCCCGCTGGCTGTCCCTACTGCCTGTCCCTGCTCCCCTGTTCCTGCTGCCTGTCCCTGCTCCCCTGTCCACCGCCAGTTCCCTCCACACAGGAAGTTGAGTGTGACTCCTGCCTCAGCAGTGTCTGGGGTGTTTGCTTGTTTTTTCATCAGAAATCCAGCCTGTGCGTAGATGCCCAGCATCCACTGCGCTGTGCCTGCTGTGTCGTGTCTCCTAACGCTACAAAATGAGTGCCGTCCTGTGTACCAGCAGTTGATGATCCTGTATCAACATCTCTAGAATTTCTCTTGCCATGGAAAACTACAATCTTGGCCGGTGTCTGCATCATGTTAATCTCTCTCCACAGGCGCCGCTCCCTGCGCCAAGACACCACCGCGCTCCCTGCTCTCACCGTCCGGCTGTCACTGTGCCCCCCGGCCCCTCGCTCGCCGTCATGGCTCCTAAGAAGAAGGCGGCCCGTCAGAAGAAGCTGGCCCCAGAGCAGGGCAGCCTGCCGGTCGTGCTGGGCGGCGATGAGAAGATCGAGGAGGCGGCTCTGGACATCGAGAAGCTGAACCAGCTGAACGGGCTCCTGCCTGAGCCGGGCTCCTTGCCCAGCCTCGTGTCCGCGGGCAGCGAGGTGAGCCAGCCGGAGCACGGCGCCGCCCTGCTGGAGGAGCTGAGCCGCATGCGCCAGGAGCGCTTCCTCACCGACCTGGAGCTGGCCACCAAGACCAAGGCCTTCGACGTGCACAAGCTGGTCATGGCCTCCTGCAGCCAGTACTTCCGGGAGCTGCTGCAGAAGGACCCGGCCGTGCGGCGCGTGGAGCTGCCCTCGCTCTCGCCCCTCGGCCTGGCCACCGTCATCACCTACGCCTACCTGGGCCGTGTGCACCTGTCTCTCTACACCATCGGCTGCACCGTGGCCGCCGCCACCCGCCTGCAGATGCCGCAGCTGCTGCAGCTGTGTGCCGACTTCCTGCTGCGCGAGCTGAGCGTCCAGACCTGCGTCTACGTCTGGAACATCGCCGGCGCCTACCGGCTGGCTGCGGTGCGCGAGGCGGCACGCCGCTTCCTGTTGGAGAACTTCGCCGAGTTCGCCGGCACGGCCCCCTTCACCCAGCTCACGCTGGAGCAGATCACCGCCTTCCTGCAGGACGATGCCCTGGAGCTGCCCTCCGAGGTCACGGCCTTCCAGGTGAGGCGCCGGGCCGCGAGGGCCAGCGAGGGGCCGGCAGGAGCCCAATGCGGGGCGGCTGTGTCTCACTGTGGCCCTCTCCCCCTCCATGTCCCCAGGTGGCTCTCCGGTGGCTGGAGTTTGACCCGAAGCGCCTGCGGCACGCGGCCGGGCTGCTGTCCCTGGTGCGCTTCGAGACCATCCCGGCGCCGCAGCTGGTCAGCGAGGTCCAGCCCGTTCCGCGCATGATGCTGGACCCGGACTGCCACCGCCTGCTGGTGGACGCCATGAACTACCACCTGCTGCCGCACCAGCAGAACGCCATGCAGTCGCGGCGCACACGCGTGCGCGGCGGCCGCCGGGCGCTGGTGGTGGTGGGCGGCCGGCCCTCGCTGACCGAGCGCGCCCTGAGCCGCGAGCTGCTGAGCCGCGAGGCCGGGGGCTCGGCCTGGAGCAGCCTGACCCAGCTGCCGGCCAAGAGCTTCAACCAGAGCGTGGCCGTGATGGACGGCTTCCTGTACGTGGCCGGGGGGGAGGACCAGAACGACGCGCGCAACCAGGCCAAGCACGCCGTCAGCACGCTCTGCAGGTAGGGGGCGCCTCCGAGACAGAGTGAGGCGCAGCGCCGTGGCGCCGCCGTGCGGAGCGTTGCCTAACCCTCAGCACTTCCTGTGCCGCAGGTACGACCCACGCTTCAACACCTGGCTGCACCTGGCCGGGATGCGCCAGCGCCGCACGCACTTCAGCCTGGTGGCCACCGGGGGGCAGCTGTTTGCCATTGGTGGGCGCAGCGCCCAGGGCATCCTGTCCACGGTTGAGTGCTACGTGCCCTCCACCAACACCTGGCACCCCAAGGCCGGGATGGAGCTGCCCCGCTGCTGCCACGCCAGCGCGGTGCTGCCCTCTGGGGAGATCCTGGTCACCGGCGGCTACATCAGTGCCGCCTACTCCCGCTCCGTCGTCAGCTACAGCCCGGCCACGGACCGCTGGGGCGAGCGCCCCGGCCTGGGCACGCCCAGGGGCTGGCACTGCGCCGCCGCGCTGGGGGAGCGCGCCTACGTGGTGGGCGGCAGCCAGCTGGGCCCGAAGGGGGAGAGGGTGGACGTGCTGGCAGTGGAGGTGTACGAGCCCGGCAGCGCGCAGTGGAGCTACAGCGCCCCCCTGCCTCTGGGCGTCAGCACGGCTGGGCTGGCCGTCCTGGAGGGGCAGCTGTTCCTGGTGGGCGGCTGGAACGAGGCCGAGAAGCGCTACCAGGCCACCGTCCAGCGCTACGACCCGGAAGCAGACACCTGGGAGCAGGAAGAGGAGCTGCCGGAGCCCACTGTGGGCGTGTCCTGCTGCGCACTCACCCTGCCCCGCCCACAGCTGCCACGGCAACGCCACGGCGACTCCGCGGGCACCACGCGCAGCCGGGCGGAGTCTCGCTCCAGCAGTGTGACATCAGGTGTCAACAGCGTCTGAGAAAGAGAGGAGAGAGAGGGATGAGTGAGGGACGAGAGAGAGAGGGATGAGTGAGGGACGAGAGAGAGAGAGGAGTGAGGGAGGAGAGAGAGGAGTGAGGGAGGAGAGAGTGGGCGAGGACAGAGGGAATGTGTGTTCGTGCATTATTGTGTGAGGACTTGTGTAACTGTCAGCCATTCAGTTCCTGGGAACGTTTCACCGTGTTTGCATGTGAGTCTGCTAACACAGAAAAGCAAAAGGGCAAAATTGCGATAGTCGTGCATTCTGAAGCATGAAGCAATCCTAAATAATAAAATAGATCAAAATAAAGTACAAAAACTTCAACAGGAACCACAGTGACCAGGTCAGGGGTGAGGGAGGACTATATCAGCTGCACCTCCAGCGCACCCATTCTGAGGAGCTGAATACTTACACAGGAAATAGATTTCTTTGAGTATTATTACAACACTGCTTATTTCTACTGTGATTTTTAGCCTAATGGAAGGAAGATAGTTTTCAGTTTGGTAAAAGAAAATAAAAATAACAGAGAGAGCAGGGCACTAGAAAAATGAATTTTAGGAAAGTGACTCAATGGCAGAACGAGGGGAGAGAACACACAAGCGAGGCTGTGTGTCCGCAAGCGAGGAAGAGGGGTCCCAGTGGAGGGAGTGAGAGAAGTCCAGCTGCGTTGGTCACTGTCCCTCCCCGTCAGGTCCATCACCTGCAGCCTCAATGGAAAACTGAACTGATGTCCGATTTGCAAACAGCACAACTGAGCAGCTCCTGCTGCTGCAGAGGCTGGGGGAGGAGGAGAGAGCTGATCCCAGTCCCAGGGCAGGATCA